TTCTCAGGTGCCTTCCGACCCTAGAAACTATGAAACTATATCTGCAACCTGTCTTCTTGCATGGCCATGCTCCCCCATAACTTGGTGTCATCCTTGAACTTGGCCAGCGAGCCTTTCACCCTCACACCCAAATCATTGATAAAGATGTTGAAAAGCACTGGTCCAAGCACGGACCCCTGAGGGATATCATTGGCCATTTCTTGCCAGGACGACAGATCCATTCATGAGAACTCTCTGGGTCCTACCATGCAGCCAGTTTTCCACCCACTGAACTGTTGAGCAGTTAAGCCCACAATCTTCCAATTGTTCCACAAGGATGTCATGGGATACTAGATCAAAAACCTTTTGGAAGTCTAGGTGTATAATGTCGACCTTCTTTCCTATGTCCAGGTGGCGAGAGACCTGTTCATAGAAGGAGATGAGATTGGTAAGACAAGACCTACCTGCGATGAAGCCATGCTGGCTGTCATTGAGAATCTTACCCTCAACGAGCATATCACACAGATTCTTTAATGAGTTTTTCCAGGATTTTCCCTGGGATGGAGGTTAGGCTGAAAGTTACCCAGGTCCTCCCCCTTCTTGAAGATGGGCACAATGTTGGCCCTCTTCCAATCCTCAGGGATCTCCCCTGTGTACCACAATTTCTGAAAAACTTTTGCCAGGGGTCCACAGTGACCTCAGCCAGCTTCATCAGCACTCTTGGGTGAAGTCCATCTGGTCCTGCTGATTTATAAATGTCTAGCTTTTCTAGTTGGTTTTGTACCAGCTCAGCATCCGCAGTGGGAAGGCTATCATTCCCACCATGCCCCCTGTGATCCTTATCTCTCTTGTCTTTCCCCTTGGTGAAGTACTGAAGTAAAGTGGGCATTCAGGAGTTCAGTTTCTCCCTCCCCGTCCCGAATGTCCATTATCAGCTGTCCCAAGGTGTTAAGCAGGGACCCCATGCTTCCATTTGTTTTCCTTCTGCTCCCTACATACCTACCGAAGGACTTCTATTTGTCCTCGACTCCCTTGGCTAACTTAAACTCAGTCACCGCCTTAGCTTTCCTAATCATTTCCCTACAAGTGGTCCACTGTTGTATAGTCCTCCTTGAGGCCTTCCCTAGCTTTCACTGTGTGTATGCCTCTTTTTTCTTTTTCAAGAGGACCACAATGTCCCTATTGTACCAGGAGGGCTTGCCAGCCCTTCTGCTACCTTTCCTTTTCATGTTTGCCCAGAATACCAGGCCAATCCTTAAAACTACACCCAACTCTTGCATTGATGTAGCCAAATATTATAATAGTGAGTTTTCTCAGTCTCTTTTTCAAGTTGTTGGTAGAAAAAGTTATTTTCTTCATTGCTAGCTTGAAGGGTAGGTGCATAGACACTAAACAATGTGATGAAGCCATTCTGTATGCACTCTGAGCATCATGAGTCAAATAGATACAGCAATGGGGCTTTCGCAGAAAGATAGTAACCTGTTTCTAACAGTAAATTCCTGTTTGGATGTCAATTATATACAACAATTAATAGTTTTTTAAGACAGAAGCAGGTATTAGGAACATACAGTTTGAGTTTCTGTACAACACAAGCCATATAATTTTATTCAGTGATTTCTGTGGCAGGCTTATAACTTTCATAGATATCTTGAAAGAGTCCAGAGTAGGTGCTTGCACCACCTCTGGGGGGAGTTTGTTCCAGGCCTTGGGGGCTTGGATAGTAAAGATGTTTTTTCTTATGTCCAGCCTAAAACAGTCTTGCAGGAGTTTGTGACCATTGGACCTTGTCATCCCCTGGCGTGCTCTGCCAAACAGGTGTTCCCCCAGATCCTGATGCACACTACTTATGTACTTATAGGCAGCCACCAAGTCACCCCTGAGCCTGTGCTTCTCCAGGCTGAAGAGTCCCATAGCTCACAGCCTCTCTTCATAAAGCCCATTCTCTTGCCCTCTGATCATGCACGTGGCTCTCCTGTGGACTCTTTCAAGCTTCTCTATGTCCTTCTTAAATTGTGGAGCCCAGAATTGGATGCAATACTCCAGCTGCATCCTCACCAAGGCTGAGTACAGTGGGAGGATGACATCTTGGGTCTTGCTCGAGATGCATTGGTAGATGGAAGCCAGAGTTTTGTTCGCTTTGCCAGCTGCAGTATCACGTCGGTGGCTCATATTCATTTTGTGGTCAATCATGATCCCCGAGTCTCTTTCAGTCATGATGCTAGCAAGTGTAGCATTGCTGAGCCTATAAGTGTGATGCAGGTTTTTATTCTCAAGGTGGAGTACCTCGCATTTCTTTGTATTGAATGCCATCAGGTTTTCATCCACCCACCTTGCAAGCCTGTCGAAGTCAGTCTGGATCACCAACCTGTCCTCAAGTGTGGAGACTCTTCCCCAAAGTTTGGTGTTGTCAGTGAACTTGGCCAGTCCAGTTTTGACACCAGCGTCCAGTGGCCAGATCATTTATGAATCATTCGTTTGAGTCATAGCATATATTTTACAAAGAGATGTAGGCTTGACTTAAGACTGCAAGTGGTAAGGAATCTACCACGCCTCTGTGTTAGTGGCAGATTATGCTCACTGTGAAAATTCTAATATTTTTTGTAGTTTGACCTGTTAGAGCTACAGCAGCCAACAGCTGGATCTCTCTTCAGTCAAATAAATACAGAAACAAGTATATTAACTGAAATAAATAAATCTGACTTATTTAAGTGAAGGAGGTATATTTTAGTCCAAGACCCAACTAGGCATGGGGGCCACTGCTGAATGTAAGATAATATTTTTTGGTTCAGCTTATGAATAAATACACCATTTTCACTTTCTAAAGACAATGAGAAGTATGCTAACCTTTTTGATATATACTGACTTTTCTTACAGGGTAGCAAAGTACACTACAGGTATCACTGGTTGAGCCACAATGTCAAACACAGTGGAGTGGATGATATGGTCTTGCTTTCTAAAATCACAGAGGATTCAATTGTGGAGAACCTGAAGAAACGATATATGGATGATTACATCTTTGTATCCTTTATAAACAAGTTTTTTTTCTTGAGATGATGTAGGCAAATTGTATCTAATGAGTGATGTGTATCACAGTTAAGCAAACTGTTCATTTAAAGCTGAGCCCTCTATATGAAAATTTACCTGAAATTATGCAAAATGCTTTTCATCTGCTAAGCACATTATATGCTCTGAACTTCATTCTGTGTAGGACTTTATTCTATGTAGGCTTTTTACAGGTTCTTGCATTATTCTAGGTACTTAGTCCTGCTCCTAGTCATTGTTCCTAATATGGCCCTGCTGCTCCATGTGAATAATATTCATGGGTGTAAATCCAGTTCATTAAACGGGGCTACTTGCCTGCTTAAGTTTTAATGGAATGAGACCCTATGTCATGATTTAAAGTCATTTTTTTTTCTGGCAGGTAAATACTGCTATCAAAACAGTGTTGTTTCTCTTGTAACATGAAGCTGAATTAGTTTAGTCTTGAACTGTTAATACAGTATATAGTAGGATCTTGAAACAGGTGTTATGTAGGTTTCCATTCCCAGGACATTTTACTAAGATGAATTAAAAGATGAAAGAGGAAAGCAAGTGAACATATAACCCTACAGGAAAAACACTTGGATTACAGCTGCAAAAGTTTGCTTTTCTGTTTGAAATATTATCATATGAAAAGACTCCATTCAGGTGAAACGTACTGGGTCGCTATTTCATTTTTAGCTTTCGTGTTCTAGTGTGATCTGCAGAAACAAGTCTAATTGATACTGGTCAGCAGAATTGTCTATTGGAACAAATTGTTTTCTCCTTTGGCTTTAAAGTCTGATTTCAGACTTCTTGGAAGTGTAGAGAGAGGACAGCTCATTTGAAGAGTTCAGGTTTTTGTAGGAGGGACTGGAAGTTTTTCATTTTATGGCAATTAGACATCAGTTACTAGGGCTGTGCAAAGCTTTGGGTACTGATTTGATTTGGAGGAGATTCGGCCAGATTCGGTTGCCAAATCTCTGAATCCAAATCAAATTGGGAGACCGATAAAAAGGTCTGAATTGATTTGGAAAAGATTTGGAGAGATTTGGAGATTCGGGCAGTCCCCGCCCACTGCCACAAGGGAATTGGACCCAGATTCCGTGCTGGTAAGTGCAGGGGGGGTGCTGAAGGATGGGAAAGGGGACCATGGGGGGACCCCCACCAGGCCCCACCCCCTGCCTGATCCCCCAGCCCGCATGAGCACCCCCCAAACCCCTGCCCACTCTCCCAACCCCATCAATGGCTGCCCTGCCCGGCCCCAGCATCCCAGCTATCTTTAAAAAAAAAAAAAAAAAGCCGCACAGTCACTGGCTGCTGCAGCATCCATCGGGGTCTCTGGGGGCTTGTGGCAGAGCCTCCTCATGCAATGGGGGGCAGCGGGGATTCCCCCTCCCCCCTGCTGGGCAGCAGCTGGTGAGGGCAGGGCTTTTTTTTTTCCAAAGAGCCAGGACACTGGGGCTAGGCGGGGCAGCCATTGACAGGGCTGGGAGAGTGAGGAGGGGGATGGGTGTGTTCGATTTGGAGATTCGGCTGATTCGGCAGTGCCTGAATCTCCAAATCAGACTCGGCGGAATTAATTCAGGACACTGATTCAAATCACCAACTTGAATCACTGTTCCCCGAATTGGCCAAATCTGAAGCGAATACTAGCCACTTTGCACAGGCCTATCAGTTAGGCAGTTTAGACTTCAGGATGGAAATAATATCTCAGACCACCTCGTACCAGTATGAGGAAAATAATCCTTCATTTGCCCTCACATTCACACCCCAAGCTACCTGAGCTTTTAATACCATGTGCTGACATTTTTGTTAAGTCGTAACTGAACAAGGAAAATCACTTACTGAATAGTTAATAACGCTTGCTATTTAGAAATGTGGTAAAGTTATGTAATATTTGTCAAAACTCCATGGGTTATTTAGTTAGGGTTAAGGTACAGTGGTCTCCCCATGAGTAATGCAAAGTATCTTTGTCTGTTTGGAGCTTTACTTTTCTTGGATTACACTTGCAGAGTTTTCAGTTCTGAGTTTTGCACTGATAAAAGCAGGTTAACTCTTTGCTTTCTCACTATGCAAATACAAAGGATTTGCATAAAAACGGTCTGCCAGTGAAAATAGAAATCAATGCTTTTTTTGTGTAAAAGAATCAGTGGTTAAATGAGAATCTTAGATATCAGATTCTTCTTGTAAAATATTATAATTACTTTTTTATCCTACTACAATTCTGTGCAAGCTTTCTTTTCTTAAATTGGAGATCAAATCTTGAATCTTTTGACTGTTAATGTGTCTATGCATGAATGAACATACTCTGTGCCACTTTGGTCATAGAGATTACTGCATCTTTCCCTAAAATGCTGGCATTGTTTAGCAACAGAAAACTATCACTTCAGATGTTTATACTAACACAACGAATGCTTGATTTGCCGTATTGATGTCCTGGATGTTGTCATTCTTTTTTGTATTAAATCCAAAAATGTATGAAGGAAGCATTACAAATTCACAATAAAGAAATTATACTCAGTGACTTTTTATCTCTTGTCTGACAAATGACATCATTTTCTACTATTATACCATAACAATGAATTCTTTTGTAGGCCATTAAATGCCAATTCTACCTTTTTGTTTTTATGAGGTGTTGGGGCTAACACTGTTTGCCCATGAGTAGTTCCAGATAGCTCAATAGTATCTGAAATACTTCATATTTTTGGCATTTGCATACAGATACATAGCTATATCCAAGTATATCCAGCTGTATCCGTGAACATATCTGACTAAAATAGTTTTTGTTATCTCAGACGTACATGATACCTTTATTTCAAAGGAACCTAAAATCTTTTACAAACTACATGGGTGGGTATATTTTGCACACAAGCATGTGTGCACACACAAATTCCCTCTTCTGTAAATGAAATTTTGTCATCCTCTAAAGTAGAATACTGTACCTACTTCAGAGTGCACAGTACAGCTTTTATATTTTAGGAGAGAAGGTTAAGTATTCCATATCCATTGTATGTACTAGATGATTTCAGGTTCCAGATTGTAATGATCTAAATCAGAATCGAGCCAGATAGCATCCTAAATCTTGCACAAATATCATGGCATTTAAAATAGCAGGAGATACATTTTCCAGCAGTGTGTCAAAGTGTTGCTTTAATAGGAATTAATACAGAATAGTACCACTTCTTGAGGTGCCAAAATCACTTCCTGCAGCCCCCTTAGAAGCCTCACATCCAGAAATTGAGAGGTACAGTAGTTTGCCATGTTAGTCTGAAATGAGGCGGATATAGAGCAGAGTTGTACTTATAGACTAACTCAGAGATACATAAGCTTTTGTAAGCAACGGCTCACTAGTCTATTGACATGCAGCTCTACTCTGCCTTCTGTTCAAGACTTGGACCAACCTAACTGAACTCTGCTTCTCTCTTTTTTTTATGGAGAGGCTCCAACGAAACTTAACAAAACTGAGTATTTAGAATCATTTCCCTAAAACCTTACAATGCATCGTTCTGTGAATTTCCAGCTAAGACCTTTTCAGGCAGCAGAAATAGTTAAGAGTATGGCTACATTATTAGCCGTTTTCTGTATTTTGGCCTCGTGATTAGAAAAAACGAGTTTAATTCATGCTAAATATATATATATTTCCTGACATCATAGAAATAGTTACCTGGATGGTATGTTTGTCTTCCTGTAAGCCCAATAATATTGCTTAAAGATCTTTACAAGTAATGATTATTTCATATTATTCGGTAAAATAATTTAAATATTTTGAAGCTTTGTTGTATTATGTAATATTTTTTAAAAGTTATGTAGTACATCAGTACATCAGTAGTAATGATGAAATTCTTTGTGAAATAATAGTTATTGAAATTACCCTATGAACCTTAACTGCTTTTGAACACAGACATATATTGGATCTGTATTAATCTCTGTGAATCCTTTCAAACAGATGCCATATTTTGGAGAAAAGGAAATTGAAATGTACCAGGGAGCTGTAAGTAAAGTGTTGTGTAAAATTTGCTACGTTTTGTAGTATGCAGATTCTGTTCTGAACTGATGTAAGTGTATGTTGTCTGGTTGCGATGCTGGTATAACTTACTAAGATTGGAAACTTTATTTGTTGATCACATATAATTTTGAAGTCCCGCTTCTGCTTTTTCCTCAGTTTTCAAGTTTAATTCACTGAGATCTACAATGAAGAGCTGAAAAATAGATTTGTATCTTTATATATATTTGACCAGAATCAGGTGTCCCTCAGCAGGCAGGCCCTGTCTGAAGGGGGGAATTTTTCATGAGCTACATGCCCAATTCATAAAGGACAAAACAGCTTTTGTGGACCACCAAATCTGGCCCTGGGCCTCTAAGGTTGGGTAGCAAAATATGGAGGCATCCAAAATTAGATGCCAGTTTTGAAAATATGGCACTAGGCTTTCAATAAAAGTCTTCCTGGAAAGAACCTGCGTGATTATTTTTATCTAGCTGCTGGTGTCCAAGTGTCAATTTGAAATACACATTGGGCACAAACAGACATTCATTTTTGAGAAATTTACATTGACGAAATCCTTTTGAGAGAGGGAGCAGTACAGATGTTCAGTCTGCAACTGTCTCCTCTCCCCTGCTCTTCATGCCTTTCCAAGACAGGGTGATCCTGGTCTGGGGAAGGCAAAGAGAGCAGTACCTGCTCCACTTCTGGTCCCCAGGGAGAGTAGAGTAGTAGGGAAAGACCAGAGGGAGAGGTGGGGAATGGGGAAGCAGCCTCCTCCACTCCATCTGCCAGTATAGTGGGGGGAGCACTGGGGCAAAATCCCCATCCCAAAAGGAGTCTGGGAGGGGAAGGGGGCAGAGGCACAGCCCCCATCCCCTTCCGTAAGCCAGACAGGAGGGGTGCGAGGCCTGCTTCTTCCTGCCTTTTCCCCAAGCTAGGAAGTGAAGCAAAGCCCTTGCCTGCTCCACATACTTGGGATTCTGGTGCAAGGAGTGGGCACTGGCTTTACCTTGCTACCCCAGGGAGAGCCTCTTTGAACCCAGTTCTATACCAGTAATGGGAAGCTGGCTGAGCAAAAAACTGGGCTGAGGAAAGCCTCTCCAAGCCCAACTCCCAGTCATGCTGACTTGTATTACTGCTCCCACTGCTCAGCAGGGTGCCAGCAGGGCCAACGGGAAACCAATAGAGGACAACACCATTCCCTGTGCTCAGCCCCAGGTGCCCAGCAGCCAGGTGGAAAGAAGCAGCACACAACGCCCCTGCTTGCTTCTCACACTGGGTCTATGGGAGAGGTGGGAGCAGCTGCTGCTGCACCTTTTCCAGACTGATGACGCCAGTCTTAGGAAGGCACAGGAGCCTTCCCCCCGGCTCTGCTTCTCCTTGTCCCGAAGAGGACTTAAGACATGGGAAAAGTGTGCAGACATTCAGTCTCCTGAGAAAATCGCTTTGGAGTAATTTAACTTTGGTTGTTCCTAGGTTATTTTTCTCCCAGAGCAGTGATTTTTGTTCCAGAAGAAAAAGGTTGAATGTCTGTATACTTGCGGCGTCCACTGGAAGAATGGCAGTTCTGGTAGAAACTGAATGTCTGTCCGTAGCCATTTTAACTAGCACAAGCAACTATGCTAACTACATATTTCAGTTTTTTCTGTATTCTTTGATGTACAGTCTGAAATATACCTTGGTATCCCCCCTATAGGCTCAGTATGAAAATCCACCACATATCTATGCTCTTGCAGACAACATGTACAGAAACATGATTATTGACAGAGAGAATCAATGTGTCATTATCAGGTAAGAAACTGATGTTTATTTAATACATCTACTAATTTCAGGATTAAATATTAAGAGCTTTTTCAAAAGGGAGCAGAATCTTATTTTATACCCAGATTCTTTTATTTATGCAGAATTACCTATTTGTGTTTTTGTTTTGCTGGACATGAGATAGTGTCAATGATATATTATTTTGGAATGGTTTTAGAACTTACGAAAGAATAAGGGAGTTTTAAACTGGATACCAGTTATGTTATAATCATGGTGATAATGCCCAGTGAAGGTATAACTTTGAGGTCTCTCTTATAGTTCATATATAAGTTGAATTTCAGAAAAGCAGTAAGAAACTGAAGCAGAGTCCATTAAAAGGGACTCTTGCATTCCCATGTGGTTCAAGTCATTTCTTCTTTGGCCTTGTGCCTTCCACCACCACCCAAGGGATGCTATAATCACCCAGAAATAGGCTTCCTGTTGCCTCTTACTGCAAAATTAGAATGCACTAAACACTTACAATCAAAATCAACTAAATTTAAGACTAGAAGCAGCCTTCCAACACATCTTTTGCTAAAGTTGAATTTTATAAACCCATTGAGAGTATACTCCTTTTCTTTTAGATTGGTTTTGTGTTCTTTCATCTGTGAGGAGTTCAGGAGTTTACTTTTAGTTGTAATAATAAAAACCTGTGTCAATGAAAACTCATTGAGAATTTCAAGGGTTTGTACTATAATGAAACACCTTTTGGAGCCTAATTTTTGTTTTGCAACATAACGTCTATTTTAAGTTTAACAAGACCCACATTCCCTTTTACTCAAGTTTCTTGGTAAGGATCCTTTTGCTAAATCTAAATGTAAATCTGCTCTGAAGAACATAATTATATAAAAGAATATACCAAAAAATGAAACCACACTAGATGATGTTACATCTACTACATTTAATACACTACTACAAACCACATTGATAGGCTGGCAGCTGGCTCACCATTTTGTCAACATGACATGAACATGGGGATTTTATGAGTTTTATTTCTGGATTCTTTTTATAGTAAAATATATGTATGCTTCTCCTTGCAATAATTGTCTTTACATGTAGTCAGTGATCCTAAAAGGGGAGGTTAGGGAAGTGGGGAGCAGGGAGGAAGGTGACTATAAAGTCATTTAACTTTTATTCTCCCCACTATTTCACATGAATAGCACACTGAGGGAGTTTACTGAAAAGTCATTAGCTAGCTTTTTTTTTTTTTTGTATTTTGTCATGAAATTCACAGGTTAAAAATATTTTTGGAAACCTGCTTCCCAGAAATGTGCCTTAGCTTGGTCGCATTCTTGGATGTGCTATTGCATGCTAAACAATAGCTGTGTGCAGGTAGTGGGGATGCAGGTTAATTGATTCTGCTCACTGTACCTTTTGTAGAAAAGTCATTTTTCCCCATTGTCATACAGAAAAACTTCAAAGGCTGTTTTCATGTGCCTGGGATTGTGGCAGTGAGGATCAGAGGGAATGGGAGAGGGAATTAGAGAATTTTCCTATTCTCTCTGATCCGCACTGGCACACATTTGCATTTTCACAGATCTGAATTTTGCATATTGGCTTCTATTCTACCCAGGAGAGCACACAGAACAGCACCAAACTCTCCCTATATCTGAAGAAGGGTGTTTGTGCCTGAAAGCTTGCAAAGAACAATTTTTACAACTATTTAGTTGGTTTAATAAAAGATATTACATCTACTCCTTATTTATGTGTGTCCTTAGACCAACATGGCTACAACCAACAACCTTATACTCATTGTGGTATTTGTTTGGAACTGTGCCTAGTAGTCCTAGCAGAGCTCCTTGGGTAACATCTCACAGTGGAAGAGATCTTTGGGTACACCTGTTGGCATCATTAGCTCCTTGGAAGAAATGTATTTGCAAAGACACTGTCTTTGCCTATGTAAGAAATGAATTTGCAAAGACATGAGCAAAGACATTGTCACAGCTCAGACTTCCAGTGCTCTCAAGCTTTCTTTTTTTTTTGGCAAGTTTTGATAAACTGTAGTCATACTAAAGTTATCTGTCTCTGTTATTGAATTTTGACAGGTTAGAAAGGGGTAAAATATGAATTGTTTTAGGCTTTTTACTTCAAAACCAGACCTGGGGCTGGTTCATAAGCAGGTCTAATGTTTCATAAACAATCCTGGATCTGATCTGTTTTGTGCACACAAAGGCGCTATGCTGAATTGTGAACCTATGAGCTGAATTCCATGGGCCAGATTTTCACAAGTGTTTTACTCTCTTTTTGGCACCTAAATAAGAACCAGGTTTTAAAACATGTTTTATTAGGGTGACCATACGTCCTAGTTTGGCCGGGACAGTCATGGATTTCCTAGGCTGTCCCAGCCAGTTGGTGAAAATTGAAACAGAAGTCCTGGAATTGGCTGCTGCAGGCAGAGCAGAGGCAGGTGGGCAGGGGCACAGGGTGCAGTCCATCACACCAGGGCAGATGGGTGGGCAGGCACCTCTGCTGCTACCTGCATGTGCCTGGCCTGGCTCCTACTAAGCAGCAGCTGGTGGGGGTGGTAGAAGACTTGGCTGGGCTGGGCACTGCTCCAGTCTGCCTACCTTGGTCCTGCACAGCAGCAGCAGCACCGGTGCCTGCCTGCCTGTCTGCCTGCTGTTCCATGCCACTCCACTCCCTGCTGGACTACACCCCACATCCCCGCCTGTCTGCTTCTTCCTGCAGCAGTGCTGCTGACTGCGGGGCTGGGGAGACAGTGTCCCAGATTTCCTTAGAAATAATATGGTCACCCTATTTAATACACTGTGTGCTGCCTTTTTTGACAGTGTGGCCAGTTATTTAGGTAACTAGATCTGGAAATCTGAGTGCTTTGAAGGGGTGGGGAAAAGGAGTTGGAGAAATGAGATCTCTTGACATCCTGGCCTATTGTGTATCTAAACGGTGGTTTGTGTTCCCTGAAATGTGTTCATAACCCCATAACACTCTTCCTGCATTGCGTTTGATACATTTGAAAGATCTCAGCAGAAGAAAATCGTGTTTTCATTATTGTCCTTATTTACAAGAGGTTTCTCTTCTGTGCTGCTGCAGTTTATTTGTCCTAGGAGTATTTTTGTGAGATGAATACCGGAAAACGAGGAGACTAGGTTTACAGATGTTTTTCATGTTGGTGTTTGATTTTGGAGACTGTTGTGTATGCTAAATTGCTGCATTGTTAGATTTTTAAGAACTGAGAATTAAACAAATCATACTTCTGATTTTAGCTCAGTTTGATATTTTAACCTTAAAATATTAATTGATCAAAGTCCATGTATTTTGGCTTGAATTACTCTCACAGTTCCTCTCACTGTGATGCCAGAGCTTCTAATGATTAGAGCTAGCCAAAAAGCAGGGTTTAGACCAATGTTTTCAACATTTCTTGTAAACCAGAAAATTTCCAGATCCTTCAGCTGCTCAGTGAAATTGTCTGTCTTGTCAGCTTCCCTGTTTATGCCGGCTGTATTTATTTTTACAAAAAATAGTCTTACAACTGAACAGTTGCAGGGGGCTCCCAAAGTGCCTGGTTTCAGAGCACACTTGACAGTTATATCTGCCCTAATGCTCAGAGCTTTCAGCATTTCTGTCCCATTAAAATGCAGGCTGGGGCTCCCTGTCTCAAGTGCAGCAGAAGTTCATTGAACCCATCTAAAATATGCATAATTTTTTGGCAAAAACAAATGCTTCATCCATACTTTTCTAACCATCTCTACTTAACATTGTTGCAGTTATAGCATACTACAGGATGCAGAACTGATTCTCATGTTATTTATACCAATTTAAATATGGAATAACTTCAGTGATGTGAAAAAGGTGAAATGATATACAAGTAGTGCAAACTAATACAGAAGCAAACCCACAGTTTTGTTTTGTTTGGTTTTTTTCACATGGTGATAGGTAATCTTTTGGAGAGATGAGTTGAAGAAGAAGGGAAAACATGTCAGCATTTTGACCCGGCTCATATCCCATTGTGATCAATGGCTTTTCCAGGCAGAGACCATGTGTGATGTGCATAGAGGCTAGCAGTTCCAGGCTCCAGTCAGATGCCATAAATAATAATGCAGTGTGAAGTTTGATATTGGCATCAGTTGGCAGGGCTAGACTCTTTGGCTGTGTATGCCTCACCGGCATATAAAAGATGAATTTAGGTGATCCTCCCCCTCTATGCGACGCTGGTCAGGCCACAGCTGGAGTATTGTGTCCAGTTCTGTGCGCCCCATTTCAAGAGGGATGTGGACAATATGGAGAGGGTCCAGAGGAGGGCCACCCGCATGATCCAGGGACAACAGGGCAGACTCTACAGTGAGAGACTGCGGGACCTGAACCTATTCAGCCTCCACAAGAGAAGGCTAAGGGGGGACCTGGTGACTGTCTATAGACTCACTAGGGGGGACCAGAGGGGTTTGGGGGAGACTCTGTTTCCCCTAGCGCCCGCTGGCATAACAAGGAGTAATGGGCACAAGCTGATGGAGAGGAGGTATAGATTGGACATCCGCAAAAACTACTTCACGGTTAGGGCGGCTAGGAGCTGGAACCAACTTCCAAGGGAAGTGGTGCTGGCCCCTACCCTGGGGGTCTTTAAGAAGAGGCTGGATGCCTACCTGGCTGGACTCGTTTGAGTCCCATTTCTCTTTTTGGGGTTTTTTGTTGTTCTCCCGCCCTGGCGGGGGGTCGGGCTAGAAGATCTACTAGGTCCCTTCCGACCCTTAATCTATGAATCTATGAATCTATGAATTTCAGACAATGAAAAAATAGTCTGCAAGAATATTGACGTTTTGATATTTAGACTCAGCTTTTCCTATCCCTTTTTGTAGTCTCTACGAGATGAAAGAGGCAAAGCCTGAGCTGCTTTGCTGTGCACGGTTAAATTCTAGATCATTGATGAAACACAGGCTTTTTGAGGCACATCCATCTTTAGTTCTAAGATCCTCCAATCTCCTTCTCTAGCTCTCACACACAAAAGTTCATATGTTAAGCATGAACAGATTTAAATC